TCTATTGTCCACCACGGTTCGGCGACCAAGACGCGCACCCAATCTGTTAATTCACTTTGCGCGATTCTTTGTCTCTCAACACTGCACTCATTCCCTATCACCAAATTCTGCGCACCGACTTGCGCCCCCCCCCCCCCCCCCCCCCCCCCCCCGTAGATAGTCTTAGATGCCATGGTTTACTAACAGACGGAGGGGCACGAGGAACTATGCAGCTTCGCCTCCATACTATCTGTGCCGACACCGCGAAATACAATCAAGCATCTCTATGACCATCGTGTTCCTCCAACTCTCGCCTCTTGCGTATATGCTCGCCGTAAATACCCCAGAAACAAGCGAAGATGCCCAATATGCTCGATGTGAGAGTGACATAGTACGCGGTGCGGTAACACGAGAGACCCAGCTCACATCCACGTTGACCATCTGGCTCAACTACCGAGTTGGAGTCATAGACCGCGCCGTAAAAGAGATTGAAGACGTTTCCGCTGACGACAGGTGCCAGAGTCATGAAGCCCCAGTTGACGGCGAAGCCATCTGGACCAAACGCATCAACCACGAGCGCTGGGAAGACACCAAATAGAACGCCATACGCGAGTCCGGAGAGTCCGGACACAGCCCACAGGAAGTGGGGATCCTCAACACGAATGGCGGCGACTTGAGCCAAAGCAAAGATGGTGGCAGAGATGGCAGCACACCAAAAGCGTGAGTGATGTAGTCGCTTCACAATAAGATCGGAACCAATGCCCGAAGATAGACGTCCTAAGAAGGAACAGAGCGAGATTATGGACACATGCCATAGCTGACGGTCAGCGACAAAGGCGTTCTTGACGGAGTCGTCCCAGTGTTTCCAAAGGGCCTGAACGTCGTGACCAATGTTGCTGCACCAGTCAGTGATGACCACGATGGAAATCTGGAGTATACGTACTTGATTGTCATTAAACCAACTCCTGAAAGGAGGCCCATGAGTACCCATAATTGCCAGAATTCCGACTTATTCAGAAGTGCCAGACCAGTGATATCTATACATGAGTGAGCCGACTTTTTGCTTGCTGCGTCGTCGTCATCGTCGATGATGTCGCCAGGGCCAGACGAGAGAAGTGACGAGGTCTCGGTTGAGGGACGGTCCTGTTCTTCTTCGGCTGCTAGAAGTGGTTGGCAGGTGACAAGGGGAAGACGGAGGTGGAAGGAAAGCATCGCTTACTGGTTTCTTGCTGTGGAGGAGCAGATGATTTGTACTTGGAGCCGTTGGACCTTGTCTTATGCAGGACGTTGGAGTTGCGTCGCGTACGTTCGCTGGTGGGTAGCACAGCATAGCCGGTGCCAGCTTTGTGATCGACGACGATAAGGAAGGGTATCGATACCAGAACGAGTAGGGAGGTGGCGAGAGAAAGCATCATAAGCAACCCAGAGGTATTGCCTGGGAATGCTATGCCGGCGATGAGGGTGTAGAAGAAGGCGCTCAGTCCAAAAGCAGCCAGTGGGCAAGCAGTGGCCGATCCACGGTGAGTAGGCCAGTTGAGTGTCGCTGCTAGTGTTAGGACAAGTCTCCCGAAAGTTGATGGGGGTATTACCCGTCTTCAAAGCAGCCTGGAAGGCAGCACAGCTGCCCACACCGCTGAAAAAGGAACACAAGGATATCAGGCCAACGCTCATGTAGCCTGGACCTCCATCATACGCTGGCGACAGTTAGACAATAATCTGGCGAGCAGTTACGAGGTATCCTACCGAGCTTGATGGGGTAGTAGCCAACGAAGAGCGCAAACATGCCGATAATCGCAGCAAGTCGTGGGCTCTTCCTATCCGTTATGATGCCCATGGGTATGCCAGACGCATACATGCCCAGGTTGGCGGCCGTTCCCTATAATTGTAAGACGACATTCGTGTTCAGGAGGTACGTAGGATGGCATACGACGACATTGCTCTGGGTCGCAGAGAGTTGGAGCTTATCGGCGAACTGCGGTGCCCATGCTGAGTAGGCATACTGGAGTCTGTTAGCATCCCACTCCAGATGTATGACGGAGACGTACATTTGTACCACAAGCAAGGGCGATTGCGGTGGCAGCAACGACGGATATAATGCGCGTCTTCTTGTGGGTGGGAGGCTGCTCTTCGGCGACCATGTTGGTCAGTGTGAATGAGGTGTTATTGCAGTGCGCTGATCATCGAGTGCGGGAGATATCGAGTTGCGCAATCGCGGACTGGAACTGATATCGGCACTTGCTAAGCCGAGGAACTAATAGCGCAGGTAAAGATATGCAAAAGAAGCAAGCAAAGAATGAAGGACGCGAAAGGAGTCTATAGTGCGAAGCAAACAAGAAGTCAGGCGAACCCCAAGACACCACACCGATGTTTGTCGAGTGAATGGAGAGTCGAAGTGAAGCATGGCCGTTGCAGCTGATCGGAGATAAGATGGCCAAGGCGTGACTTGGCGGCAGGAGCCGCGACACAAGCGCATGCGCAGGAACGTCACCGGCCTCATCCTCGTGCCTCCAGCTTCTCCACAACACAACCCCGGCGACTCACGGCATCTCAACCATGGGTGCATTACTATCCGTCCCCTTCCTGGCTATGCCCGCCATGGGCACCGTACGTTGACACGCTCCGTCGCGACCGCGCGCTGCTAACATGGCTAGGTTTGGAGCGTTGCCGCCTCCTGCTGTGGCGCCGCGACATGCAGCGCCGTCATGGGCTCTTGCGGAGGGAAATGCGGTAACAGGTAGGATCACAAGTTCTGGGAGATATGTTCAGAGGTACTGACTGCGCGCAGCATCGCCACTCGTATCGCATACGCGCTCATCCTGCTCATCAACTCGATTGTCTCATGGATCATGCTCACCGACTGGGCCATGAAGAAGCTTGCCCACCTCACTCTGGATTACGTCGACATCAAGTGCCACGGCGAACAATGCTACGGATATGTTGCAGTGCAGCGCATCAACTTCGCGCTCGGTTTCTTCCACGTCCTCATGGCGCTTATGCTCATCGGAGTACGGTCTTCCAAGGACGGCCGCGCGACCATACAGAACGGCTTCTGGGCTCCCAAGATCATGGGCTGGATCGGCATGATTGTTCTGACTTTCTTCATCCCGAACTCGTTCTTCATCGTCTGGGGTAACTACTTCGCCATGGTTGGCGCGTGTCTGTTCCTTCTCATCGGACTCATTCTGCTCGTGGATCTGGCGCACAACTGGGCCGAGTACTGCCAGGAGAAGATCGAAACCACCGAGTCGCGCGTCTGGACAGGCATGCTCGTGGGTAGTGCCATGTCCATGTACCTAGCGTCAATCGCCATGACCATTGTCATGTATATCTTCTTTGCAAAGAGTGGATGCGGCATGAACCAGGCAGCCATTACCGTAAGTTGACTTCTGGGCGTATGCCGAAACTAGCTAACTTAGACAGATCAACTTGATTCTGCTCCTCATTTCATCCGTCGCCTCGATCCACCCCGCAGTACAGGACGTAAACCCCCGAGCTGGTCTCGCCCAATCCGCCATCGTAGCCGTCTACTGCACCTACCTCACCTTGTCTGCCGTAGGCATGGAGCCCGACGACCATCAATGCAACCCCCTCATTCGCGCCCGTGGAACTCGTAAGGCGACCATCATCATCGGCGCGATTGTTACATTCGTCACAGTCGCCTATACCACCACACGCGCAGCAACATACGGCCTCGCTCTTGGCGCCCAAGGCAACCCTCACGGAAACGGCTACGCCCAGGTTGGCACCGAAGACTACGAACATGGTCTCGTCACACAACAGCCCGAGTCCCGTCGCGACATGCGCCAGGCTGCCCTGCGCGCTGCTGTAGAGTCTGGATCCCTCCCCGCTTCTGCCCTCGACGACTCCGACAGCGAGGACGAAGACGACGAGCCCTCCAGCAAGAAGAACCCGCGCGACGACGAGCGCAACGCAACACAGTACAACTACACCCTCTTCCACATCATCTTCTTCCTCAGCACAACATGGGTTGCCACTCTCCTCACGACAAACTTTGACGAGAAGGATGTATCCGGTAGCTTCGTTCCTGTCGGCCGGACGTACTGGGCCAGTTGGGCAAAGATCATCAGCGCATGGGTGTGCTACGGCATTTACACATGGACACTGGTTGCTCCTCTCGTGCTGCCAGATCGATTTGACTACTGATAGCACAGTAGACAATTAGATCATGGCATACTTTAGTTTGTCTTTGTACAACATGTGTTAGGATTGTATTATTATCTAGTACTATGTATGGTTTTGCGTCCGCCCTCGTGTCGCGAGTTGAGTACGAACAGCATCCCACGTTTTGACCTTAATGAAGTATTTTGTTTGTTTCCTCGATCCACGGTTTGCTCCTGAAGTGGCCATTTGGTGATGTCTGGGAATCTTGGGAGCGTAGCCGGAAATCCATGTCTCCCCATGATCCACACGACTGGGGTGTGGGCATCTTTACTCAATGATCGTCTACGAAGTGCAGGTGTGAGTGATTCCCATGTTCGGCATATCATGCTCATATTTGGCCGGACTGTGTTCTGACTCGTCCGCCTCGTCCATGCGCTATTGTCGATTGTCCTGCTCAGCTCCGCGTGGCTACATGCACAGCCTGTAGCTGTGACTGAGATCGTGTGTGCAGTGGATGAGGCGGTCATAATCGGCGCTTGTGTGGGTGTCCCTGGTAGGACAAATGAAAGTTCGACAGACCACATTCTCCGAAAAGAATGCGAGTCTTCCCACCTCAGCCAGTATCAACAGGTACCTTGGGTTTGTTCTTCGATCCAGGGGGTCTTCCCAATCGTGGACGGCAGGTAGGTATCTGCTGCCTCAGCTTTTTATGACGGTGAGGGTCCTTCGGTGGCTTCGGTGGTTTCTCTATCACCACAGGCTCATCGCCCGCTCTACGCTTAGTCTTCGATCCTGGAGGTCTTCCCATGGTATGACCTTCGGTAGGCTTCTTTAAGGTGCCTGAAACTTGTCCTCCACGTGGACGAGGCGCTTTCTCGGACCACTTTTTCAAGGGCCGACCGATTTTGGGCGCAACGACTAGTGTGACCTTCTTCTTGTCCTTTGCAGAACCCTTAGGACGCGATTGAGGTGGCTCTTCCTCTTCCACTTCAACGACAGGGGCGGGTACATGCACAATGTTGGCTGGGATCTGGCGCATGAGCTTGAGGGTTTCCTGGTCGAGGTTGTCCCTGTCTGGAAAGATGGGCGATCCCATCCAGGTCAATTGTATGTCTTTCATCGTTCCCGAAGTTTTGAACTTGTCCTGACTCTTCTTTGATACCCTCGCGTCCTCTTCTAATCCCTCCTCAGGATCTTCCAGTAAAGCCCGCGGGGTATGCCTCACCGTGACACTTACTCCTTGCAGCCCTCTCTCAGTTGCCGCCCGGTTCCAAACAAATTGCTCCACTAGTCCCTCCCGCGATATGAGTATGAAGCCCATAGGACACGAACTGTTCGCTATAGCTTTCATCACCCCCGTCGTAGCCTTTTTTGTTGTTACCAATAGCCCCAAGACATCCTTGTTGCGCCAATGCGGTGGTACACCCTGGAAAGATCCTTCGAGTTCGCGGATGTGTTTCGGGTTGACACTATTACTCCTTGCCTTGCACTGTACGATGACGGGCATGGGTTCTCTGAGAGGGCCCAGCACCCAGTGTCCAATCAAGTCTATGCCCGCATCCCCCATACGACCTATACGTAAGAGAGAGAAGCCTAGGCGCATGAGCGCCTGCGCCGACATGTACTCATAGATAGTACCAATAGCGAGAGTCGAGGTCAAATTTAGATTGGTTTCCTTCGCATATTCGAGGAATGTCGTAAGCGAATCGTGATACAGAGAGCCGGGCGAAAGTCTGAGTTTGGGTAGGTCAATTGGTGCAGCATTGCGCGCTGATGTGGTCGCGATTCGGCGTGGGACGCGGTGCGGAGTAGTTCGGGGGAGCCGTGCGAGGAACGAGGTTTGTGGGAGCCATAGTGGGCGGAGGGAAGGTCGCATCACGGTATCCTGAGATAGCGCTTGGAATGTGACATATTTACACAAAGATTGACGCGACGGAGAATGAAAGTGGGTGCCGGGCGTCGAGTGGGGTGAATTGGAGGGAAAGAGCATTCGCGTATAATTTGAGCCCTGGACATGGCGGTGACGCGCTAGGCTAGCCCAGCCGGCGCATTCTACAACTCGAACGCGATACTTGTCTGTAGCATACACACTCAAATTAAGCACGCCAAACTCGCAGCTTTGGAACCCGGTTTTATATCTATCTCTTAGCAGCTAGAAGCTTCCACCCATTCAACATATCCACCTGCCATCATGGGCGACATCCTCACCCAAATCCAAGATGAACTGGACATGGTACCACCCTCCAACCAACACACGATCCCTCCTCCTAACAAACCCAGCTCCTAAACCAAATGTCCGCCGCCCTCCGTCAAATCCGCGAAAACGCCCCACCCAGCGTCCCCGAAGGCCAACAACCCCTCGAAACCTTTGCGCAACTAGAAGCACGCAACGCCGCCGAGAACACACAACAAGGCATTGCCCAAGACCCCTCACAACAAACAATCGCGGCCCCACCTAAACCCTCCCCAGAGCAGTTTCAAGCAGATCTGAAAGAAATGGCCCAAGATATTACGTTGAAGGAGCAGCAGATTGAGAGGTTGATTGCGCATCTACCGGGTTTGAATTGGAGCGAGAGGGAGCAAGTGGATAGGATGAAGGAGTTAGAGAGGCAGTTGGAGGATCTGGAGGGGGAGAGGGTAAAGGCGGTCAAGGATAAAGATGTCTTGATGAAGATGGTTGAAGATAAGATAACGGGCGTAGGGAGGGTCAGATGAGGTTATAATGCGGCTGAAGCAGGCGCTTTTAGGACTGCGATCGTGTATGTGTCACACCGGTACCTCACGCTACGTCGCATACATCGTCCGACTTCTCAAGGATATATCATCACGAAGGCCGTCCGACCGCTTTCTAGCTGCTGCAGTACCGCCAGCCTGTCTGCCGTTGCGGCAGCACGGATTACGTTGAATACTCAAGAACCACGCGGTTCTACACCACTATGGTGATACTTGCAGCTGTGTCGAGCTCAGCACTTTACTATCACATATTCTTCTTGCGGAGAGACTGATCACCGCGCAG